GATAGGGTTTATTAAGAACACTCCAATTGTTGCAACAACAAAAGCTTTAGGACCTGCAATCTGAAATTGATTAGAAGGATGATCATATTTATTAGGCGTACATTAAGCAAAGCCTTTGTAGCATGGAGAAAATGGAGGAAGAGTGCGTCGAAGCAGCCTCCAAGCAAATGTTTTCACTCTAGGAGCAATGGTTTGTAATAGTCCAGTATCCAATCGTTACAACAACAAAAGCTTTAGGACCTACAATCTGAAATTGATTAGAGGGATGATCATATTTATTAGATGAGGGTAAAGTGTGCTAATTGGATACTTTGTTCGTCCAGAGGAATATCAAGTCGTACATTAAGCAAAGCCTTTGTACCCTTTTCGAAAGACTGCCACACTCACCAACTTACTGACCAACAAGACATACATATCACAACCCCCAGCTTTATTAATAACAAGCATCATAATAGCGTCTCCACGTTTTATATATTTTATAAAAAATACAGCTAGGTAGTCACACAAATCGCTACACACAGCAATAGATCGAGATCCCTAAAGTGCGGCCTCTAAGCGTTGACACGAACGTGCACTACATCATCACTTCACATAAACTACAAGTATACAAGAACAACAAGAATGCACCGGACATAATGTGGTGCACTGGATTAATCCAACTACCAAAAACAATTTGAACCTGCTCGTAACTTCCCACGGATCTGGGACTCCCCCCAAAAAAATCCTCCATCACCATGCTTACATTGCAGTAATGTCGACCCAGCGCTCGTCCGCCGACGCCGTCCCGTCGCAGCTCCTTCCGGGGAGGCAGGCCTTGGCCTTCGCCGCGTCCTGGACGCGGTAGCTCTCGCTCACGTTGTCGCCCAGCACCAGCCCGTCCACCGCGTCGATCATCCGCTGGTAGCGCCACCGGTCGTCGCTGTAACGGTACATCTGGCTCGTCGCCGCCGACCCGTTGATCACGTCGTGGTCCTTGACGACCATCCAGCCCACCGCCGTCTGCTCATCCACCAGCTTCGCCTCGTTCTCGAACCCGTCGGACTTCACTTCCGTCTCGAGCTTGAGGGTGTGGGACAGGCTCCCCGTGACGACGGACGTGCCGTCCTCGCCGTCCTCCGTGTCCATGTAGAACGACAGAGGGTACTCGGACTCGGTCTTGAGCTTGCCGATCACCTTCCTCGCCTCCGACCGGACCAGCACCTCCGTCTCCTGCTCCGCCTTCATCTGGACGGTCTTGTTCCGGCCGTCGCTGGTGAACTCGACCAGGCTGCGTGCCTCCAGCTCCGTCTCCACCTCGGTCGTCAAGTTGCCGAGCGACGACAGTACCCAGCCGCTGAAGAAGGACTTCCGCTTGGCATGGATGCTGAAGCTGCCGTTCAGCAGCTGCGTCGTGTACCGGCGGGAGATGGACAGCCGCGGCGTCCGGTACCGGCCGAGCGACGCTTGCACGTCCGACGCGCTGGGGTCCAGCCAGAGGTGCAGGTTGGCGTCCACGAGCCACTCGGCGATGCCGTCCACCACGCTGATGCCGAACTCGTGCGCCTTGCCGTCGACGAGGAGGCCGAGGAACGGAGTGAGCTCGACGTCGTAGGTGGGCAGGTCGAACGCGCCGATGGCGGACACGGGCTGCCAGTAGAGCGGGTTGATGCCGCCCGTGTAGATGACGGGGAACGGCACGAAGGAGCCGGCGAAGTGGTGGTCCACGCTGACGACGACCTCGCGGTACGCGGCGTTGCCCCTCTGCGTGGTGAGGTTGTTCTCCTGGATGTAGAGGTCCGGCGGGTTGGAGTACCAGAACTCGTCGTTGGAGTGAGGGGACACGAACACCTCGAGGACCGCACGGTAGGTGCTCGACGGAATGGTCACGAGCTTGGAGCGCGAGTCGGACGAGTTCTGGATGCGGAACCAGTAGCCGCTGTCGCCGGTGGCCTCCGAGATGGGCAGGATCAGGTCCGCCGGCTGGAAGTACGACTCCGGCAGCGTCGGTGCCGCCGGACTGGCGTCGGCGACATCACCATCGGAGGAGGGGGGATTTACCACGGAGAGGTAAGCCGGAGTCCCGTGGAACTCGAAGGAGACGGTGACGTTGTAGATGCCGGTGTACTGGTCGTTGACGAGGTTCTCGAGCATGACCGAGAGGACGCCGTCGGGCGGGGAGCGGAGGAGGGCGGAGTAGCGGGTGACCTCCTTGCGCACGGTCCAGCTGACGCCCTCGGGGGTGGGCTCGGCGGTGGTGGTGCGGAGGAGCTCGGAGCCGTCGAGCCAGACGGCGGCGACGCGGTCGTACTGGTCGCCGGCGCAGGCGGCGGAGAAGGAGAGCACGACCTGGGACCAGGGCGCGGGGCACCCGGGCGGGGGCGCATAGGCGGCCTTGGCCGGGGGCGCGCCGTAGGTGTTGGCGAAGGAGTAGGAGAGCACCGGCACGGTGCAGGTCGGCGCGGCGGGGGGCGGGCCCTGGAGCGGGTAGGTGGGGTCGACGTACTCCTGGGCCGCCGCATTGCCCGTGGCCGGCGGCGCGTAGCGGACGGCGTAGCGGTCGGGGGCCTCGGCGAGAGCCGGGCCGAGGAGGTGGAGGAGGAGGAGGAGAGCCAGCGGCGGCATCTTGCGCTGCGACGGGGAAAAGGTCGCTGGCTCACTGATGAGTGCCGAGGGCCGGGCCGGCTTGTTCAACTCGTGTTGAGTGGTGTTTTCTGGATCTCTTTTGGATTATTTTTTCTGCAATTCTGCCGTACTTCAGATTGGTCGTTGGTGGTGCTCGTGAGTCGTGAGATCGTGCACGGTAGTGAATAAAATTGAGCATTTGATCACTGACCACCAGACGATCAACTGACACGTAGTATTAGTGGTATGGACGTGAAGTTGTTCTTGGTTCCAAAGTTAGATCATGTGTTCCACAGAAGATTTTTTCTTTGGCAAACTGAAGCCCTCAAAAAGGGATGTATTTTTTTTATTAATTCAGCATCCCAGCGCAGCGTATAGAAAGGATCTTTCCCAGAGGAAAGTCAATGGCTTCATAAGTCAACCTGGCATTACATCGAGAAGATTTGCTGTAGATATGAGAGCAGCTACTAGTAGAAGATCTACACTTGCTATGGCGGCAGCGGCAAGAAAACCGATAGAGAAGCCAGGACATTGGAGTATCAAACCAGAGCTTTATATTAAACAGTTTTGCTAAGGCACATTTAGATGTGTCATAAGTATTGCACATCTAAGTCCTATATCATTGATCTTACGTTGAGATTTGTGCGGATATTTTCTTTTTGTTTTTTCTTTTCCTTTTTATGCTTGATTCACTCATTTAGATGTGCAATAAGTAAGGCACATCTAGATGTGCCTTAGACATTTCCTATATTAAACACAGAAGGGGTTGATAGTAGGGTGTCAGGGTGTTCAAAATCAAAAGAAATGCCCATAGGGAAGCTCAAGCTGCTATCCATTCAACTCCTGGAAGCATTTACATTTACACTTTTCTAGTGCAGCTCACTCTTGAGCCTCTTGTCCAACAAAGGCTGCTCTATGTAATTTAGTTAAGGACAATGTTGATGTTTTAGCTGTGACCTATCTTATATAAATAAAATCCTGGGTTTACAAAAAAAGAGAGTAAAGATCTACACAAGAACGCAGTCGAAGAAATTAGCAAGATATTTTCAAGTTTGAGTAAAATTCCATGCAATATCTTTAACAAAGAAATAACATGAACGCATTGTTATTGTCGGCCCATACAAACCATTAAGTCAGACAGAGGTTTTTCACCTGGAGCTCGAGACCAAGTGCTACTGATATTGGGAGCAAGAACATAAACATTTTTTTCCAGAGATTTCAAACAACTATTCATGAGAACCAACAAATGATCGGGTGGCTACTGTTGGATTATGGATGGGCTTAGGCTCATATAAGACACTAATCCCTGGTTAATCTTGAGGCTCATGTATGAGATGGCAGATGGAGGGAAGTTTAGTCCCACCTTGCTAGTTGAGGAGAGTTGAGACCCATTTATAAGGGTTGCTCTACCACTTGCCATTGGGAGCTTGGGAAGAGGAGTGGTACACACACGCTCCTCCTCCTCCTCCGCCCGCCTCGTCACGACGTGCGCCACGGGTGAGCCGAGCCAGAGCTTATTTTTGCCGCTCAGGAACGAGTCGCTAACAGGTGGGCCACTGTCCGAGACATTGGACTGTGGGCTGACTTGCGTTCCCGGGATTCGTTGACTCCATTCGCGGGTGTGCGACCCTTCTCCGGGAACGACGACTCCCTTTCCGGGAGTGTGTCTTCCTACCCAACGGCCTATATAAGAAGGCTCTGCCCAGCGGAGTGACCAAGTTCGGTTCACTCACTCCCTCTCGCGTAACCTAGTCGTCATCTACTGTTCCTCACTCTGTGCTGTCTCCGGCGACCCCATCCCGACGAGCGCGTGCACGACAGGTCGGGAGAGCAGGTGCCTCCAGAACCCTGTCGTTCGAGATCCTGCCCGGGAGAACGACAATAAGATTTTTTGGGAGCGTCTCGACGCAACTGCTCCCGATCCGTTCCCAGCTCTGTCTGCCTCTGGTTCCACTACTACCTCCGCATCGACACCATGGCCGACGATGCCGCAGCTAAGAAGAAGGCCACGGACGCCGTCGAGGCTGCTACTGCCGCAGCCGCGTTGGCCTGGCCAACCGGAGGGTATGATCTGTTCATCCCTCACTTACTCGTACTTGTGCTAGCCGTACATGTACTGCTCGTAGATGGTTCACTTCTATGTTTTGTACGTGCTAGTATGCTTAGGTATCGCTATGAGATGCATATCTTTTATGCCATGCCAACAGTATTCTCGTGGATTAGTCTAATTGGAAAAGTGCTAATATTTCCAACAATTAAAAAACCTTATTTTAGGCACTTTTTGATTCAAGGCTTTGTTGCTACTCTGAAACCGGAAAAGTTTACCGGGATGCATTTTAAGCGTTGGCAGACTAGGACCACCTTGTGGCTCATAGCGATAAACGTGTTCTGGGTTGGTGGTGTGTCCCCCACAGAAACGATTGCTCCTGAACATGAGAAGGCGTTTAGGGAGGCAACCACAATCTTTTTGGGAGCAGTTCTGAGTGTGATTGGAGACAAGTTGGTTGACGCATATATTCATATGGGGGTTGCCAAAAACTTGTGGGATGCGCTCGAAGTCAAATTCGGCAGAACCGATGTTGGCAGTGAGCTGTATGCCATGGAGCAGTTCCATGATTACAAGATGGTTGATAACCATCCTGTATTGGACCAGGCTCATGAGATACAGTGCATTGCTAAGGAGCTGGATCTCCTGAAGTGTGAGTTACCGGACAAGTTCGTCACGGGTTGCATTATTGCAAAACTCCCTCCTAGTTGGAGGAACTTTGCTACTTCTCTCAAGCACTTGAGACGTGAATTCTCTGTCGAGGATGTCATCGGTCATCTCAATGTTGAGCAGAACTCGAGAGCAAAGGACTCACACGTGAAAGGGGCAGAGGGTTCTTCTAGCGCCAATGTGGTGTAGAAGTGTTGGAAATATGCCCTAGAGGCAATAATAAATTAGTTATTATTATATCATATTTCATTGTTCATGATAATCGTTTATTATCCATGCTAGAATTGTATTGATAGGAAACTTAGATACATGTGTGGATACATAGACAACACCATGTCCCTAGTAAGCCTCTAGTTGACTAGCTCGTTGATCAATAGATGGTTACGGTTTCCTAACCATGGACATTGGATGTCGTTGATAACGGGATCACATCATTAGGAGAATGATGTGATGGACAAGACCCAATCCTAAGCCTAGCACAAAGATCGTGTAGTTCATATGCTAAAGCTTTTCTAATGTCAAGTATCATTTCCTTAGACCATGAGATTGTGCAACTCCCGGATACCGTAGGAGTGCTTTGGGTGTGCCAAACGCCACAATGTAACTGGATGGCTATAAAGGTACACTACGGGTATCTCCGAAAGTGTCTGTTGGGTTGGCACGAATCGAGACTGGGATTTGTCACTCCGTGTAAACGGAGAGGTATCTCTGGGCCCACTCGGTAGGACATCATCATAATGTGCACAACGTGATCAAGGAGTTGATCACGGGATGATGTGTTATGGAACAAGTAAAGAGACTTGCCGGTAACGAGATTGAACAAGGTATCGGGATACCGACGATCGAATCTTGGGCAAGTATCGTACCGATAGACAAAGGGAATTGTATACGGGATTGATTGAATCCTTGACATCGTGGTTCATCCAATGAGATCATCGTGGAGCATGCGGGGGCCAACATGGGTATCCAGTTCCCGCTGTTGGTTATTGACCGTAGAGTTGTCTCGGCCATGTCTGCATGACTCCCGAGCCCGTAGGGTCTACACACTTAAGGTTCGATGACGCTAGGGTTATAGGGAAATTATGTACGCGGTTACCGAATGTTTTTCGGAGTCCTGGATGAGATCCGGACATCACGAGGAGTTCCGGAATGGTCCGGAGGTAAAGATTGATATATAGGAAGTATGGTTTTGGCCACCGGAAGTGTTCCGAACATGACCGGTAGTGTACCGGGACCATCGGAGGGGTCCGGGGGTCCACCAGGTGGGGCCACCAGCCCCAGAGGCCTACATGGGACAATAGTGGGAAGGGACCAGCCCCTAGGTGGGCTGGGGCGCCTCCCACCAAGGTCCAAGGCGCTTCCAAGAGGGAAGGGGGGCAAACCCTAGGGCAGATGGGCCCTAAGGCCCACCTAGGTGCGCCTCCCCCTCTCCCCCTTGTGGCCGCCAGCCTAGATGGGATCTAGGGCTGCCGCACCCCTTGGGGTGGGAACCCTAGAGGGGGCGCAGCCCCCTCCCCTCCCCCTATATATACTTGAGGTATGGGGGTTGCCCAACATACGATTCGATCTCTCTCTTGGCGCAGCCCTACCTCTCTCCCTCCTCGTCTCTCGTAGTGCTTGGTAAAGCCCTGCTGGAGTCCCGCGCTCCTCCACCACCACCATGTCATCGTGCTGATGCTGGACGGAGTCTTCCCCAACCTCTCCTTCTCCCCTTGCTGGATCAAGGCGTAGGAGACGTCATCGGGCTGTACGTGTGTTGAACGCGGAGGCGCCGTTGTTCGGCGCTTAGATCAGAATCAACCGCAATCTGAATTTCTACGAGTACGACTCCTTCATCCGCGTTCTTGTAACGCTTCCGCTTAGCGATCTACAAGGGTATGTAGATGCACTCTCGTTCCCCTCGTTGCTAGATTACTCCATAGATTGATCTTGGTGATGCATAGAAAATTTTAAATTTCTGCTACAATCCCCAACAGTGGCATCATGAGCTAGGTCTATGCATAGTTTCTATGCACGAGTAGAACACAAAGCAGTTGTGGCCATCGATATTGTCAATTTACTTGTCGTTACTAGTCTTATCTTGATTCGGCAGCATCGTGGGATGAAGCGGCCCGGACCGACCTTACACGTACTCTTATGTGAGACTAGTTCCACCGACTGACATGCACTAGTTGCATAAGGTGGCTAGCAGGTGTCTGTCTCTCCCACTTTAGTCGGATCGGATTCGGTGAAAAGGGTCCTTATGAAGGGTAAATAGAAATTGGCATATCACGTTATGGTTTTG